TAATTATAAAATTTTCAATATTTTTATATTTTGAATTTGATTACTTTTTTATTCTAAATTTATTTATTTTAGTGACAAATAATATGCCATAAAAATATTTTACCGACTTAATTATTTATAACAAATCAGATCGGATTGACTTATATCCATATTTGATCCATTTAGTTAACGGATTATTAGATTCAGATCTTGATCGGGTTATCGGACTGAGATCCTAAATCCATCTCCCATTAATTTCGTCGAATTTAGATCGGATTCAGATCAAAATCCAATCCATTGACAGCCTAGCTGCAGTCCTTGACACCACGTCATGTTACTAGGAGGCAGTTTGTCGAACTTCCATGAAGAGATCGAACAGACATAGGAAGTCGAACTCATTTGGTCGAAGTCGACCCCTTACATGTAACCAAACCCTTATGGCGAGAGAGGCTATAAAGGGGCTTGGTGGGAGATCTCTTATGCAATCTTTTAATAAGTGATTAATGTGACAATTCACTATTGCCGCCGTCCTACCCAATCAATTAAGTCAAGTCTAAGCCTTTTGTTAGAATTATGGCAGCAAAATGGTATTAACATTAAATGCTTATGATTGATTAATGCCATTAACAAGAGGCCTCGACTGTGTAAATGAGGCCACGTATATTTCCATCTCATTGCCAATATTCATCCAATCCTACTACAAAAACTCACACAATGTGTTATTCTAAAGGTCATGCAGATTTAGACTTTCAAACTACAACTAAGTTATCCTTATTGTTATCATAAAAAATCCCCCCAAAGCCGACCCTTTTTTATATTGGAAGCTAACGTCTAAAACACCTCCCACCCCATTAATCCTACAACAATTGACTTGACTATTGGAGTGCGCGTGACTAACTTCACCACCATCGGAGGAAGCCATGTGTGGCTAACGGTTTGTCTAAGTGTGTAGTAATCAAGCTTAAGTGGACACAGGAGACCTTAGAATCTGTTGACCACGTTGGATGTACAAAATTCGAGGTAACATGTAATATTATTTTTGTTATGAAAATTAGAATGTTGTCATACTAGTTTGTTGTGATAAACTTCATCTAAATCATAATGAAGAGCCAAGTATATATAGAGAACATATAGGGGACGTCCGACCCTTATATAGAAGAATTATAGTTGAAGTAGAATGTCAAAAATGGAGTTCAAAATTGCGCAAGAAGTGACGAGACGGCGCCGCAGTGCCCCGGGCCAAAAAATTGTGGCGTTGCGGCAAACACTCAAGGGTCTTTTATCCCAAAAATCTTGATTTTCTTCATCCAAATGTCATCTTCAAATCAAACACAAATTCCTGCTCTTAATAGGTTTCAAAATAAAACTTCAATTAGAATTTGTCAAGTAAATTTGAATGGAATTTCACAATAACATACCAAATAGAATTCTTCTTAAAATGCATTTTAATTAGAACTCCCAATTATCTTCAGCAAAGAATTCGGATCACATCCAAATTCCAACAATTTTATTGAAGAATGCATGATTGCAAAAGAAGAAAGTGAAAACGCATTAAATTAAAATGGAGTCCAAACAAGAGCAAAATACGTAGACACCGATTATTCTATCTCCTAATAAATAAAGTAAATAAATAAGGAGGTACGGAACTAATGGTTCCATAATTAGAGATAAATTCAATAGTTTCATTTATAAAATTTTGTTCTTGATTCGCTCCTGCCCCTCCTACACTAACAAGTTTGTGCTCCCACATAATAGATTCATTCTATATCATATTTTTGTCTCTCTGCTACCCTCCAATCTCTCACCTCTCGCACGGCTTCTCATATACTCACCCTCTGTGGTAGTTCTAACAACTACCTAGGGTGGAAAGTTGGTCATCGGGAGAGGGAGAACAAGAAATATTGTGTTCATTTATATATCTTTTATATTTTGTTTCCGTATAAACTAAAAAATAAAAATATAATTGTTTTCTCACAAAATATGTATTTTCAAGTCAAATAATGGGTATATAAATTCGAAAGATATAGTAGACTCAACTTCTTAAAACATAAAAATTGAAGATTCAAATACTATATCTTGGGTAGGTTATGACTTCCTTGGCAATCTTTCTTATCGAGTGAGTGCTTGTTTGATAACTATTGTTAAAATCCAATTACTTTCAACTTTACCTTGTCTCCCTATATAAGTCTTAAATTATGGTTATATTAAAGGCACGAGTGCGATTCCTTGAATCAAGAGGTTCACCAATACAAATATACAACTCTCCTCAACGTCGTGTTTTCAATTATTTCCTTGCCAAATTTCGTGCATGGTTGGCAAAGCTTATAATCACTTATAACTTGGTCAAATTCTACTTTTATCCACATATTCCATAGACTTTACACCTTTTACCCACTTATTACACACATTTCCATAATTGATTTTTGCCAAACGTGCTCTTCAAATATAGCCATTTGGGTCTTGGTCCATTTAACCCGGTAAAAGGCAACAGTTAAAGTAGTAAATGTTAGTTATTCAATTTGCTTAACACATATTAAAAGTCCATAAATCTTGAAACAGCCTTTGCATTAATACGAATCTTAAAGAGTTATCTACTTAATTTGTTCAATAAGTGAGTTAAGCACATAAAATACATATAACTCTCTAAAGAATCTGAGCATGGCATATTAGAGAAGGAAACATGATCTTATAACAACTATAACACCAACTATATTCTTACTTTTTAGTAAGTGCATATTCTACTTCATAAATTATTCAAATTATATTTGACTTATTGGCTATTGACATATAATATAATATTTTAAACAAAATTAAAAGAAATCAATAAATATTTCTTGAAAAAAAAGCAAATTCAAGAGACAAAATAAAGAGTTTAGTTTTAACACTCAAAAGTCAAAGGAGAAAATATAAGCACTCTCAAATTTTCCTTCCCCTTGGACTAAAATGATGGGATGAGATTTTGAACCTTAATCAACCACTTTAATGGTCAAAATTTTACTTATCCTTGGTCTCTTATTTAGTTATATATTTAACATTAAAATTGAAGATTCAAATACTATATCTTGGGTAGGTTATGACTTCCTTGGCAATCTTTCTTATCGAGTGAGTGCTTGTTTGATAAATATTGTTAAAATCCAATTACTTTCAACTTTACCTTGTCTCCCTAAATAACTCTTAAACTATGGTTATATTAAAGGCACGAGTCCGATTCCTTGAATCAAGAGGTTCACCAATACAAACATACAAAGCTCCTCAACGTCATCTTTTCAATTATTTCCTTACCAAATTTCGTGCATGGTTGTCAAAGCTTATAATCACTTATAAGTTGGTCAAATTCTACTTTTACCCACATATTCCATAGACTTTACACCTTTTACCCACTTATTACACACATTTCCATAATTGATTTTTGCCAAACGTGCTCTTCAAATATAGCCATTTGGGTCTTGGTCCATTTAACCCGGTAAAAGACAACAGTTAAAGTAGTAAATGTTAGTTATTCAATTTGCTTAACACATATTAAAAGTCCATAAATCTTGAAACAGCCTTTGCATTAATACGAATCTTAAAGAGTTACCTACTTAATTTGTTCAATAAGTGAGTTAAGCACATAAAATATATATAACTCTCTAAAGAATCTGAGCCGAGCATGTAATAGAACTGTAGAAAGGTGGCATATTAGAGAAGGAAACATGATCTTATAACAACTAACACCAACTATCTTCTTACTTTTTAGTAAGTGCATATTCTACTTCATAAATTATTCAAATTATATTTGACTTATTGGCTATTGACATATAATATAATATTTAAACAAAATTAAAAGAAATCAATAAATATTTCTTGAAAAAAAAAAGCAAATTTAAGAGACAAAATAAAGAGCTTAGTTTTAACACTCAAAAGTCAAAGGAGAAAATATAAGCACTCTCAAATTTTCCTTCCCCTTGGATGTGTGCATTTGTGCAGAGAAAACCTCAACTAAAACGATGGGATGAGATTTTGAACCTTAATCAACCACTTTAATGGTCAAAATTTTACTTATCCTTGGTCTCTTTATCCTTGAGTTTAAGGGATTTGATCTTATTTAGTTATATATTTAACATATTCAAGAAATTATCTTTTATTAGAATAACTAAAATAATTTGAAATTAATAAAGCCAATTTAATAAAAAGAAAAATACCTTACAAAAAGGATTGAAATGTATATTCGTGTATAGTTGTGAAATAAAAGAATTCTATTATGAAAAGGATAATAAAATTCTTGTTTGGAAAGGAAAAAAGGAAAAAAGAAGAAGTAAATGACACTATTGTATTATGAGTTATTTCCTTATATGTTAATGAAATATCAAGCAGGGAAAAAAAAAGACTTTACGACTTTTACTCACTTATTACACACATTTCCATAATTGATTTTTGCCAAACGTGCTCTTCAAATATAGCCGTTTGGGTCTTGGTCCATTTAACTTGGTAAAAGGTAACATTTAAAGTAGTAAATGTTAGTTATTCAATTTGCTTAACACGGATTAAAAGCCCATAAATTTTGAAACAACCTTTGCATTAATACTAATCTTAAAGAGTTACCTACTTAATTTGTTCAATAAGTGAGTTAAGCGTACATAAAAAAATATATAACTCTATAAAGAATATGAGTCGAGCATGTAATAGAACTGTAGAGAGGTGACGGATTAGAGAAGGAAAAATGATCTTATAACAACTAATAACATTCCTCCATAGTCAATATACAGTTCACCTGCAAAAAACTGTACAAGCTACAAAATTTTAATTTCTTGAACAAGCCCACTTTTTTTCATTCCACAAGAAAATAACCCAACTAAAATCTTTAAGTCAAGCCAATGTTGAACCTCCAAAGATCTACATGCAACTTAACTTTTGGATTCTCAACAAACTTGAAGTATACCAAAATTTATCAAGAGGTTGGCGTGTTAGCTCATCCCCTTTAATTTAGTTCATTTTCTTGCTCTCACTTCTCCATTTTCTCTCTATCTCTTCAGCGTACCTCCATGGAATTTCCGATCGAGGGGCTGGTTCAAGGCGACACGGGAACTTCTTACGTTATCCAGACTAAAAAGCTCTCCTACACTTTCCACAGTCTGTATGATGAATATAGACATTTTTTGTTTTGGAAGAGCGTTAAGGTATCGCCAAGGTTCATCGTCAAGAATGTGGATTTCGAGGCGAGGCCGGGGGAAATCACAGCAATTGCTGGTCCTAGTGGAGCAGGGAAAACTACACTGTTGGAGATTCTAGCTGGGAAGATTTCACCTAGGAAGGTTTCTGGTGAGGTGCTGGTTAATGATCATCCTATGCACATCGAGAGTTATCGTAGACTATCGGGTTATGTTACTCAAGACGCCGTCTTATTCCCACTTCTTACAGTCGAAGAAGTCCTGACTTATGGTGCGCTTTTGAGGGTTCCGGGTGGGAAAGAAGTGGCTAAGCATAGAGTTAAGATGCTGATGAAGGAGCTTGGACTTGAACATATATCTGATTCAAGAATAGGTGAAGGTTCAAGCCATGGCATTTCTGGTGGGGAAAGGAGGAGGGTGTCAATTGGGATGGAATTGGTCCACGACCCTGCGGTTTTGCTCATCGATGAACCAACTTCAGGCTTGGATTCAGCATCGGCCCTTCATGTTATTTCTCTGCTGAAATTAATGGCTGTCAATCAAGGTAAAACAATTATCCTGACCATCCATCAACCTGGATTTCGAATCCTCGAGTTGTTTGACAGACTTGTTCTGCTCTCAAATGGATATGTCCTGCACAATGGTTCATTAGAATTACTCGAAGAACGGCTCAAAAAAGCTGGTTATCACATACCTCCACATATCAACGTGCTCGAATTTGTCATCGATATCTCTAGTAGCATAACCATACAAACTTCAGAAGCTCCCAACAGCGAGTCCGTTTTCGAAACTGATGTAGAAAGTGAAGGAAGTGCAGAAAATGGTTATCACAGTGTAAGAATTTCGACTTCCTGTGACAAGAAAAAAATTACATCTTACTCAAATTCTCAATTTCAGGAGGTTCTAATTCTAGGGGAAAGATTTTGCAAGAACATTTTCAGAACCAAAGAACTCTTTGCAACACGAATAATTCAAGCTGTGGTAGTGGGATTCATACTCGGTACAATATACATGAATGTCACCAATAATATAGGGAAGGTTGCTTTACAAACCCGACTTGGATTCTTCGCTTTCAGTCTCAGTTTCTTGCTATCCTCCACGACGGAGGGCCTGCCAATTTTCCTGCAAGAGAGAAGAATATTAATGAGAGAGACATCAAGAGGAGCATATAGGGTATTATCTTATGTTTTAGCAAACACCATTGTGTTCCTTCCTTTTCTCTTAATGGTTGGTCTACTCTTCAGTACCTCAGTTTACTGGCTAATCGGCCTGAGGCGCGATTTGGATGGTTTTCTCTATTTCTCCCTGGTGGTTTGGGTGGTTGTCCTTATGTCAAATTCTTTCACAGCATGCTGCAGTGCACTTGTGCCGAACTTTATAATGGGTACATCTATAATTTCAGGGCTAATGGGGGCTTTCTTTCTTTTCTCTGGGTATTTTATTGATCAGGAGAATATACCCAGCTACTGGATCTTCATGCATTACTTGAGCCTGTTCAAGTACCCTTTCGAGAGTTTGATGATAAATGAATACGGAGGAAAAGGAAGCAACAAGTGCTTGGAAATTTTAAGTGGTCAATGCATCCTATATGGAAATGGGTATTTGAAACAGCAGGGTCTTAAAGAGTCACAGAAGTGGACTAACATGGCTGTGATGTTGAGTTTCGTCTTAGGTTACAGAGTTCTCTGTTTTCTCATTTTATGGTTCAGATGTTACAGAACCAGACATTAAGCATAAACTTTCCAGAAAAAAAAAGATAGCTCATTCTAACTTTTGTAGTACGCTGGGAAGATTGTATTTTTTACAGATTGGAACACACAAATATATGAAAAAATATTCTTTTGAATGCTTTTATCATATTGCTGATATTGGTAAGCATATTTCTCCACCCCCTCTTCTATCAAACTCAAGTATCAAGATGATATTGTTATTTATTATCACTCGTTTATGAAAATTTAACATGTTATCATATCTCAACAACAAAAATGAAGAGAAAATGATATACACATCAAAATTGATGCTATTCTTGTCCATTAAAATATGTACTTCAAGTATAAGAACATCATAAAGAGATGAATACTCCTGTAAAATCTCCGCTAACAACATGATTGGTTTGGTTCCACTCCAAAAATTTATTTTCTTTTTTGAATTCTTGTAAGAAGTCATACAATCCATCTCATTCTCAGTGGCATTACAATGACAGTACACAACTCAGGTAGGTAAATGAATAAGAAAACAAGATGCCTTTTTGGCCACCATCATAACCTTCTCAACTCAGTTACTTCAATCATATATTGAAGTGAAAGTCATTGTGGCATACGTCGTGCTTCTGTTTGTTGAAGATGACTTATCTTGATTTCCCCAGCCAGGCGATGTTGTATTGCTATTCACAGCCATTAATTCAGAGAGTATGGCTGGTTTAGATATCTTCTTCTTGGGCAAGTCCATCTCACCCGTAAGCAATTTCAACACAGTAGACATGGCTGGACGGCTTTTTGGCATGTCTTGGGTGCATAAAAGGCCAATCTTCAAATATCTGCAAGCCTCATCCACATTGAAGTCGCCTTCAAGTGCCGTGTCAACCAATTGAACCAGCTGCCTTTTCTCGTATAATTTCCATGCCTGCAAAAGAGTTTCATGGTGTAAGAAGGCTTAAAGATAGAGGAAGAGAAGCAATATCTATTTAGCGACCAAAAGAGTGTATCTAGGTAGATAAAGTATATTCTGGTAAAATCTAAAGTAGCGACTATCAATAACACGAGCCAACCCCTGTACATTTTCACATTTTGCATGTGTTGGGCTCTGAGGAGTTGCTCTAGTTTCCTATGTTATATGAAGGAATTGAAGGGGGCCGCTTGGTCTGAGAAAAGACAGAGAGGCGTGAGGGAAACTGTGTTATCTCATTCGACATTATAGTGAAAAATATGCAACGCCTAGTGGATGTACACCTCTCATATAAAGAGTGAACCACAATAAACATGTGTTTGTGGCTGCGTGTGTTCTTCATTTCGGTCATTATTGCTCTCAGGTTAGGATTAAGCCTAACCCCTATTGACTAGCGAAAATTGCTTATCTATCTGACTAAGTTGAAAGCCAAGACTAAGATTTTTCCTTTTTCTTTCTGGCCAAGCTTTTGTCCGGTAATATCTAAAGTAAACATATTCCCTTCTAATAATTGATGGAAGAAAACAGCAAATCAAGACCTCCATACTGTTTCAAGAAGATAACGTTCTTCAACAGGCAATCTCTTATTTGTGTTGCTTCTTCCACTGACAATTTCCAACAGGAGAAACACCGAAACCATAAACATCCGCTTTTCTCGTCAACTGGCCTTGAATCGCATGCTCAGGGGCCAAATAACCTCTACGACGAAAATAAACAGTTCATTCATTATATAATACACAGGAATATATAACTGCAGTTATACACAAGGAGATAAAAGATCCCATAATCAAGAGGCTATAACCCATAACAAATATCTATAACCATTACTTTCTGTTAAACTATGTTATTCTAACAGTCACCGGATTTCCCCTAACTTACCGGATTGACACTCACCGGTATTACTACAACTTACCGTATTTGCACTCACCTCTAACTTACTGAATCTACCATTTACCGGATTGTGTAGTTTCTTCTGGGACCACAAGATTGTTGTAACTATATTGATTCTTCACGTGTTATTGCTATTCTTTCTTGCTCTCTACTCCAACATCTTGTATATAATGCTGGCATTGTATCTTTTAAATTTATGAGATAAAGAAATATATTCCATCTCATTCTTTCAGCTTCTTAATTCCTTACTGTATTTTTCTTCATAATTTTAACTTGGTATCAGAGCTTTAATGGCAAATACCGGATCCGATGTTAACACCCAATCTGCTCAACCTGAATCAAACACCCTGATGCCTCCAATGTTAAGAGGAAATCAGGCACCAATGTATGGAATTAGCTTCTCTCAAGTACCTCCGGTAAAACTTGATAGGAATAATTTGTTGCTGTGGAAAAATATGGTTATGCCCATTATCAAGGGGCATAACCTTGAAGGATTCATCACTGGAACAATGGCGTGCCCAGCTAAATTTCTTGAAATGCAGACGACATGACTTACTCTTCAATTACTGCAGAAATAGCCATGAGAGTAATGGGATCTACAACTTCACAGAATCTCTGGAATGCTATCCAATAGAGTTTTGGGCTAATGAATAAATCTAGAGTCACTTTTCTTATAAGTGAACTCCAAAGGACAAGGAAATGCTTGATGAGTATTGATCAATACTTGAACACAATCAAACAACTAGCTGACAACTTGGAAATTGCAGGGAAAAGCATTCCTCACAATGATCTTGTCACACAGGTTCTTGCAGGACTTGATGAAGAATATACACCCATAGTAGTCCAAATCAATAGCAGGGAGTTCATTAGCTAGCATGAACTGCATTCTATCCTAATGACCTTTGAAAGTCGACCGGAGCACCTTAATTCTATGAAAAATAACTTAGCCTCAGTTAAATTAAGCCAAACCTCAACCAATTTTGTGTATAAATCAAATGCCAACAAAGGAGGCGGAATTAGCTTAGTAGGGAGAAGCTACAACAACAGGGAATTGGAAGAAGCAGGGGTAGATTCATCAAACAAACTGAATTCAAAGGGCCATACCAAATCTGTGGTTTGAATAATCACTCTACTGACAGGTGTTTTAATTGTTATGATGAAAGATATATGGATGGAAGACTCAGCCAACATCCTGTGAACAACTTCTTAAAGCCAGCAGCATTTGTAACATCATCCATCATTGTTGCAATTGCATCCGGGTTCATGGATTCTGGTGCTGCTAGAAGGGAAACTTAAAGATAGGCTTTATCAATTGAGCTACCAAACCAAACCAAAGAATTCACCTACCAACAGTCAACCTACTCCCAACCAGCTTATTCCAATAAATTGAGTTCTACTATTTTTGTTGCTGAGTCAAAAGAGTCGAATAAGTCAAGGTTAAGGCAATGGCACATGAGGCTTGGACATCCCACCATCACTGTGATGTCTCAAGTACTCAAGCTTTGTAATGAAAAATTTAATACCAATGAAATCAATCACTTTTGTGACGCTTGTTAACTTGGTAAATCTCACTCCTTGCCTTTTAAATTTTCTGATTCACATGCTCTTGCTCCCTTAGATCTTATCTACTCAGACGTTTAGGGTCCTGCACCTACAACCTTTACCTTAGGATTCAAATACTATATCCTTTTCATAGATGACTACAGCAGATTCACATGGATTTATCCAATGAAAAACAAATCAGATTCCCTAAATCTATTCATTCAGTTCAAAAACCTTGTTGAGAATAAGTTTGATAGGAAGATTAAAACTCTCCAGACTGATTGGGGAGGTAAGTTCAGGGCTTTCACTGACCTAACTCTAAATTCTGGAATTGATATGAGGTTATCCTGCCCTCACACTTCAGCTCAAAATGGAAGAGTTGAAAGAAAACACAGACACATAACTGAAACAAGATTGACACTTCTTGCTCAAGCCAATATGTCATTACACTATTGGTGGGAAGCCTTTCAAACAACCACTTTCCTGATTAACAGATTACCTACCCTTGTTCTAAAAATGAAAGCACCATACCAGGTTCTAAATAATGAACAAATTGACTATAATTCACTTAAGACTTTTGGTTGTGCCTGCTTTCCTTGCCTAAGGCCATATCAGGAACATAAGTCCAGTTTCCACTCCATAAAATGTGTCTTCGTTAGCTTCAGTAATTTTCACAAAGGTTACAAATGTTTGAGTCCAACAGGAAGAGTTTACATATCCAGACATGTAATCTTTAATAAAAAAGAATTCTCATTCCAGTCAGGCTTTCTCAGTAAAAGAAATACCTCACAAAATTCTGAAACCATTGTCCATTATCTACCCTTCTATTCACCTTAAAACTACAGGCAAGTTGGCTCAACTGATGAAGTTCACTCTGAAGTAACTCCAACAGTTGCACTTCACAGTTCAGAACAACAAGAGTTGGCTGAAAATAGAATTGCTCAGGTAAATGAAATTGCAGATGCTGGTGCTGAAAGAGTCCTTATTCAAACTCAGGATAAAACTCTCAGTGATCAGATAATAGAAGTTGAATTAAATGATGAAATGCAAAATGATGAAGAGCAAAGGAACCAGATAGTTGAACATCCTATGGTTACTAGAAGCAAAGCTGGAATTTTTAAGCCTAAAGTTTACTCCACAGAATGCAGAGAGTACAGCCTCAAATAGGATGAACTGGAACCTAACAATGCTGCTGAAGCACTGTCAAATGTAAACTGAAAATAAGCAATGAATGATGAGTACAAAGCACTGATGAGAAATGAACTTGGGAGCTAGTACCACCTCTAATTGGTCAAAAAGTGATTGGAAACAAATGGGTCTTCAAGGTTAAATATGATACTGAAGGCAGAATACTGAAGCATAAAGTAAGACTGGCGGCCAAAGGGTTCTCGCAGACTTCATGTGTGGATTACCATGAAACTTTTAGTCTTGTCATAAAGGTTGAAACTCTAAGAATTGTGTTCACTCTTGCCATGTCTAAGAGCTGGAGTATCAGACAAATTGACATCAACAATGCATTCTTAAACGGGAAACTTGAAGATGAGGTCTATATGAGGCAGCCTAAAGGTTTCATTGATAAAACAAAGCCTAATTTTGTCTGCAAACTTAAGAGAGCGCTCTATGGACTCAAGCAAGCACCTGGAGCATGGTATGAGAGACAAAAGAAAACACTTTTGGATTGGAGTTTTTCAAGATCAAAGGCTGACAATTCCCTGTTGTTTTACACTAACCAGAATCAAGTAATTTTTGTCTTGGTGTATGTTGATGATATAGTTGTTACAGAAAATGGTCAGAAGGCAATGCAAGACTTCATTGACAATTTAAATGCTACTTTTGCTCTGAAGGACTTAGGTGAGTTACATCAGTTCTTGGGAATTGAAGTAAAAAGATAAGAGTCTGGGATGCATCTAACTCAAGTCAAGTACACTAGAGATCTGCTGAAAATGTTCAAACTTGAACGTGTTAAATCATGTGGAACACCTATGTCTGTAGGGAAAATCATCTCCAGAAGTGAAGGAGATGAAATGGTAGAACCTTCTCTATATAGGAGTGCTATAGGAGGACTTCAATACTTGGCTCACACACGGCCTGATATAAGTTTTGCAGTCAACAAAATGAGCCAGTTTTTACAAACACCTACAGATGTTCATTGGAAGGCAGTGAAAAGAATATTCAGGTACCTAACGGGTACAATTGAACAAGGACTCTGGATACGAAGAACTGATACAATACATCTTACTGGCTTTGCTGATGCAGATTGGGCTAGTGAAAAGAATATTCAGGTACCTAAAGGGTACAATTGAACAAGGACTCTGGATACGAAGAACTGATACAATACATCTTACTGGCTTTGCTGATGCAGATTGGGCATCATGCCCTGATGATAGAAGGTCTACAGCAACTACGGCTGTTTATTGCATCTACTTGGGAGACACATTGGTAGCTTGGTCGTCAAAGAAGCAACATGTTGTAGCCAGGTCCAGCACTGAATCAGAGTACAAGGCTCAAGCACAAGCTGCAGCTGAACTGACTTAGGTAGAATCACTGCTTAACGAGACCAAATTAGTATGTGTTTCACCTCCAGTACTTTGGTGTGATAATCTTGGTGCGAATACCCTAGCCTCAAATCCAGTTTACCATGACAGAACCAAGCACGTTGAGCTGGATATACACTTTATCAGAGATAGGGTTATTGAAGGAAAGTTAAACATTCAATACATTCCATCGTTAGAACAAATTGTTGACCTCTTGACCAAACCTCTCTCACAAACCAGATTCATCTTCTTAAGGGACAAGCTTGGAGTTGGATAATTTAACTCCAACTTGAGGGGGAATGTTAAACTATGTTATACTAACAATCACCGGATTTCCCCTAACTTACCGAATTGACACTTACCGATATTACTACAACTTACCGTATTTGCACTCACCGTATTTCCTATAACTTATCGGATTGACACTCACGGGTATTACTACAACTTATCGTATTTGCACTCACCTCTAACTTACCGAACCTGCCATTTACCGGATTGTGCAGTTTCTTCTAGGACCACAAGATTGTTGTAATTATATTGATTCTTCACGTGTTATTGCTATTCTTTCTTGCTCCCTACTCCAGCATCTTGTATATAATGTTGGCATTGTAATTATGAGATTAAGAAATATATTACATCTCCTTCTTTCAGCTTCTTAATTCCTTACTATATTTTTCTTCCTAATTTTAACTCTTTCACAACATCCGACTCTCTCATTGTGAAAGACATATTACAGTATTGAATACCTCGTGTAAATTGCCATAAGTACGTAAAATTTCCAAATTTGTGAATTCAAATGGCATATAATCACTGCAGGTGCCCGCCTAAAGAATATATCGTCTAGATCTCTATCGCTAAATGTAAATCCTAACATGATATTATTATTTCATTCTACGTTGACATTTCTCCCATAGTTTTGCTAAGTATGATAGAAGGGCACATTTATTTTCGATATCGACAGTCAACAAAATTAGTTAGATTTCCAAACAGAAGCACAAGAATTTCTGCACTTACATCGTGCCAGCTACACGTGTGCTAATATGAGTAAGTTATCTGGAAAAAGCTTTGCCAGACCAAAATCTGAGATTTTTGGAGTTAGGTCTTTGTCGAGGAGAATATTGCTAGGTTTGATATCTCTGTGAACAATATGAGGTCGGACTTCCTCATGGAGGAATGCAAGCCCTCGTGCTACCCCAATGCAAATTTTACCGTGTTTTCCAGATAAACTGAATGTTACTGTAACCATCACCTACATATATAGATATTTAGCTATTACAATCTAGACAAGAAAAATGAGAGTACAAATATGATGTTATGGGCCGTAAATTAGCTAGGAGAGTTTGAGAAAGGCTATTATTCTCTACGTAACCATAAACCAAAATTCTATGATCCCTTTCTGCACAGCACCCATACAACTTCACCAGGTTCTCATGTTCCGGGCATGATATCGTCATTATCTCTGTTAAGAACTCACGGACACCCTGCTTTGACTCGACAGAAAGAACCTTTACAGCAGCCAAGGAGCCATCCTTTAGCCTCCCCTAAAAGTTAGAAGATAGTTTGAGTGTATGTCTGAACAAGAATCATCGGTTTTCAAACCGTACTCCCACGAATGAGGAACGAGCAAGAAGCTGCACATTACCTTGTAGACGGAACCAAAGCCTCCTTCCCCGATCTTATTTCTTGGATTAAAATTTTCTGTCGCAAGTTGTAATTCTTTGTAACTGTACAGTTTTACATTTTCCTAACTTAAATTTTCTATATTGCTTTCTAAATTTCCATTCGAATCTCTGATGCAGATATAAGCACATGCTGAAAAGGCGTGTGCAAAAGTTAATAAATATCATAGCTCGGAAAATGTGAATTGATGATCTAAATCAAACGAAAAGGCCCAAGAAACTAGCAAAGTTAAGTGATTCTGACCAATTATTTCAGTTTCGAAGATTGGTACTATCTTGAAATCTACCTTTTTTAAAACCCACAATTTGCTTTGCTGGGGAAGAAGCTTTTTGTTTGAAACAGGCAGTAAAACAAGTCATCCAACCAGTCTCTTGACGTCAATTGATGCGACAAATTATATATAATTCCTTTGAACCATCGAGTGAACAGCATTCACCTATGATTTCACCAAAATTTGATCTTAGCTAAAAAGAAGAAGAAGGGGAGAACATCGTGGAAATGATTCTACCTTAGCACAATCAAGTTCATAATACACTAAATTAACAAAAAGTTGAGGTTATGAAAAGTAAATTGAAGAAGAAAATCCCTACCAATTTAATAAGTCAACAACCTATATTATCCCAGGAGTATATGACCAGGTACAAGATAGACTTTAAAACATCAATAACTGGACTTCTATAAATGCAGTTCGATTAGAATCAAGAAAACAACTATTCAACCTCGTAGCAATGCACAAGAAAACAATTCTTAATGCCTCAAGCATGTTCATCATCCTATATTAGACATGACCGAGGACATATTGGTTAAATTAGTGCATGAATTATATTCCGTTAATAAAAAAACACGTGCATGCAAATACTAGAATAACGACTTACCGAATAATAGTACATGTATAATAATGAACAGAACACTACTTACCCAAACGTAGAAAATGCAGAAATCAAAGGAGATAAAATAAAGTGAAATATGGGAATGCAAATCTCCTTAAGACGGATTTTGCCCCCAACATTAGTGTTGGTATGATCAAATGGACATCCGACTTCCAAGATACAACACTTTTTTCAAAAAAGTAATATAGCACAATATTAATTTTGTCTTATGAACCAAAGCTTGATTGTACTATTTTAGGAGGAAAGATGTGAAATGAGAAACTCAAAAATAATTTGAAATTATTTTGACAGAATTTAGAGAAAGAATTGGAGTAGGAACTAAAGAGTTACTTACTTAGGGGGTGTTTGACACCCATTTTAGTAGAAAATTTGTTTTTGAATAGTGATTGATGGAAGAATGTGTGATTAAAAAGTAAAGAGAATTTTTAGATTTATGTGTAATATTATTTTATTGATAGAATGTGTGGTTAAAATGAAGGAAGAGAAAAAGAATGAGAATTTGAAAAAAATGGGTGCCAAACGAGGGTTTAATATGTTCAATAAGTGAGTTAAGCATAGAAAATATATATAACTCTATAAAGAATCTAAGTCGAGCATGTAATAGAACTGTAGAGAGGTGGCAGATTAGAGAAGGAAAAATGATCTTATAACAACTAACACCAACTATCTTCTTACCTTTTAGTAATTGCATATTCTACTTCATAAATTATTCAAATTATATTTAGCTTATTGACTATTGACATATAATATAATATTTTAAACAAAATTAAAAGAAATCAATAAATATTTCTTGAAAAAAACAAATTTAAGAGACAAAATAAAGAGTTTAGTTTTAACACTCAGAAGTCAAAGGAGAAAATATAAGCAGTCTCAAATTTTCCTTCCCCTTGGACTAAAATGCTGGGATGAGATTTTGAACCTCAATCAACCACTTTAATGTTCAAAATTTTACATATCCTTGGTCTCTTTATCCTTGAGTTTAGGGGATTTGATCTTATTTAGTTATATATTTAACATATTCAAGAAATTATCTTTTATTAGAATAACCAAAATAATTTGAAATTAATAAAGCCAATTTAATAAAAAGAAAAACATCTTACAAAAAGGATTCAAATTTATATTCGTGTATAGTTGTGAAATAAAAGAATTAAATTATGAAAATGATAATAAAATTCTTGTTTCGAAAGGGGAAAAAAGAAGAAGAAGGAGAAGTAAACGACACTATTTTATTATGAGTTATTTCCTTATATGTTAATGCAATCACAAGCTAGAAAAAAAATGACTTTACCCACTTATTACGCACATTTCCATAATTGATTTTTGCCAAATATGCTATTCAAATATGGCCATTTGGGTCTTGGTCCATTTAACTCGGTAAAAGGCAACAGTTAAAGTAGTAAATGTTAGTTATTCAATTTGCTTAACACAGATTAAAAGCCCATAAATCTTGAAACGTCCTTTGCATTAATACGAATCTTAAAGAGTTACTTACCTAATTTGTTCAATAAGTGAGTTAAGCACATACAATATAAATAACACTATAAAGAATTTGAGTCGAGCATGTAATAGAACCGTAGAGAGGTAACATATTAGAGAAGGAAAAATGATCTTATAACAATTAACACCCACTATCTTCTTACTTTTTAGTAATTGCATAATTTACTTCATAAATTATTCGAATTATATTTGACTTATTGGCTATTGACATATAATATAATATTTTAAACAAAATTAAAAGAAATCAATAAATATTTCTTGAAAAAGGCAAATTTAAGAGACAAAAGAAAGAGAAAATATAAGCACTCTCAAAATATAAGCACTATGGACGTGTGCATTTGTGCAGAGAAAACCTCAACTAGATGTTGAACCTTAATTAACCACTTTAATGGTCCAAATTTTACTTATCCTTGGTCTCTTTGTCCTTGAGTTTAGGGGATTTGATCTTATTTAGTTATATATTTAACATATTCAAGAAATTATCTTTTATTAGAATAACCAAAATAATTTGAAATTAATAAAACCAATTTAATAAAAAGAAAAATACCTGACAAAAAGGATTGAAATGTATATTCGTGTATAGTTGTGAAATAAAAGAATTCTATTATGAAAAAGATAATAAAATTCTTGTTTGGAAAGGAAAAAAATGGAAGGAGTAAACGACACTATTGTATTATGAGTTATTTCCCTATATGTTAATGCAATTACAAGCTAGAAAAAAAAAATTTACTTTACACGTTTTACCCACTTATTACACACATTTCCATAATTGATTTTTGCCAAACGTGCTCTTCAAATATAGCCATTTGGGTCTTAGTTCATTTAACCTGGTAAAATGCAACAGTTAAAGTAGTAAATGTTAGTTATTCAATTTGCTAAACCCAAATTAAAAGCCCATAAATCTTGAAACAACCTTTGCATTAATACTAATATTAAAGAGTTGCCCACTTAATTTGTTCAATAAGTGAGTTAAGCACATAAAATATATATTACTCTATAAAGAATCCAAGTCGAGCATGTAATAAAACTGTAGAGAGGTGGCAAATTAGAGAAGGAAAAATGATCTTATAAAAACTAATAACATTCCTCCATAGTCAATATACAGTTCACCTGCAAAAAACTGTACAAGCTACAAATTTTAATTTCTTGAACAAGCCCACTTTTTTTCATTCCACAAGAAAATAACCCAACTAAAATCTTTAAGTCAAGCCAATGTTGAACCCCCAAAGATCTACATGCAACTTAACTATTGGATTCTCAACAAACTTGAAGTATTCCAAAATTTATCAAGAGGTTGGTGTGTTAGCTCATCCCCTTTAATTTAGTTCCTTTTCTTGATCTCACTTCTCCATTTTCTCTCTATCTCTTCAGCGTACCTCCATGGAATTTCCAATAGAGGGGCCGGTTCAAGGCGACACGGGAACTTCTTATGTTATACAGACTAAAAAGCTCTCCTACACTTTCCACAGTCTGTATGATGAATATAGACATTTTTTATTTTGGAAGAGTGTTAAGGTATCGCCAAGGTTCATCGTCAAGAATGTGGATTTCGAGGCGAGGCCGGGGGAAATCACAGCAATTGCAGGTCCTAGTGGAGCAGGGAAAACTACACTGTTGGAGATTCTAGCTGGGAAGATTTCACCTAGGAAGGTTTCTGGTGAGGTGCTGGTTAATGATCATCCTATGCACATCGACAGTTATCGTAGACTGTCGGGTTATGTTACTCAAGACGACGTCTTATTCCCACTTCTTACTGTCGAAGAAGTCCTGATTTATGGTGCGCTTTTGAGGGTTCCGGGTGGGAAAGGAGTGGCTAAGCATAGAGTTAAGATGCTGATGAAGGAGCTTGGACTTGAACATATATCTGATTCAAGAATCGGTGAAGGTTCAAGCCATGGCATTTCTGGTGGGGAAAGGAGGAGGGTGTCAATTGGGATGGAATTGGTCCACGACCCTGCGGTTTTGCTCATCGATGAACCAACTTCAGGCTTGGATTCAGCATCGGCCCTTCATGTTATTTCTCTGCTGAAATTAATGGCTGTCAATCAAGGTAANGTTAAGGTATCGCCAAGGTTCATCGTCAAGAATGTGGATTTCGAGGCGAGGCCGGGGGAAATCACAGCAATTGCTGGTCCTAGTGGAGCAGGGAAAACTACACTGTTGGAGATTCTAGCTGGGAAGATTTCACCTAGGAAGGTTTCTGGTGAGGTGCTGGTTAATGATCATCCTATGCAGATCGACAGTTATCGTAGACTGGCGGGTTATGTTACTCAAGACGACGTCTTATTCCCACTTCTTACTGTCGAAGAAGTCCTGACTTATGGTGCGCTTTTGAGGGTTCCGGGTGGGAAAGGAGTGGCTAAGCATAGAGTTAAGATGCTGATGAAGGAGCTTGGACTTGAACATATATCTGATTCAAGAATCGGTGAAGGTTCAAGCCATGGCATTTCTGGTGGGGAAAGGAGGAGGGTGTCAATTGGGATGGAATTGGTCCACGACCCTGCGGTTTTGCTCATCGATGAACCAACTTCAGGCTTGGATTCAGCATCGGCCCTTCATGTTATTTCTCTGCTGAAATTAATGGCTGTCAATCAAGGTAAAACAATTATCCTGACCATCCATCAACCTGGATTTCGAATCCTCGAGTTGTTTGACAGACTTGTTCTGCTCTCAAATGGATATGTCCTGCACAATGGTTCATTAGAATTACTCGAAGAACGGCTCAAAAAAGCTGGTTATCACATACCTCCACATATCAACGTGCTCGAATTTGTCATCGATATCTCTAGTAGCATAACCATACAAACTTCAGAATCTCCCAACAGCAAGTCCGTTTTCGAAACTGATGTAGAAAGTGAAGGAAGTGCAGAAAATGGTTATCACAGTGTAAGAATTTCGACTTCCTGTGACAAGAAAAAAATTACATCTTACTCAAATTCTCAATTTCAGGAGGTTCTAATTCTAGGGGAAAGATTTTGCAAGAACATTTTCAGAACCAAAGAACTCTTTGCAACACGAATAATTCAAGCTGTGGTAGTGGGATTCATACTCGGTACAATATACATGAATGTCACCAATAATATAGGGAAGGTTGCTTTACAAACCCGACTTGGATTCTTCGCTTTCAGTCTCAGTTTCTTGCTATCCTCCACGACGGAGGGCCTGCCAATTTTCCTGCAAGAGAGAAGAATATTAATGAGAGAGACATCAAGAGGAGCATATAGGGTATTATCTTATGTTTTAGCAAACACCATTGTGTTCCTTCCTTTTCTCTTAATGGTTGGTCTACTCTTCAGTACCTCAGTTTACTGGCTAATCGGCCTGAGGCGCGATTTGGATGGTTTTCTCTATTTCTCCCTGGTGGTTTGGGTGGTTGTCCTTATGTCAAATTCTTTCACGGCATGCTGCAGTGCACTTGTGCCGAACTTTATAATGGGTACATCTATAATTTCAGGGCTAATGGGGGCCTTCTTTCTCTTCTCTGGGTATTTTATTGCTCAGGAGAATATACCCAGCTACTGGATCTTCATGCATTACTTGAGCCTGTTCAAGTACCCTTTCGAGAGTTTGATGATAAATGAATACGGAGGAAAAGGAAGCAACAAGTGCTTGGAAATTTTAAGTGGTCAATGCATCCTATATGGAAATGGGTATTTGAAACAGCAGGGTCTTAAAGAGTCACAGAAGTGGACTAACATGGCTGTGATGTTGAGTTTCGTCTTAGGTTACAGAGTTCTCTGTTTTCTCATTTTATGGTTCAGATGTTACAGAACCAGATATTAAGCATAAACTCCCCAGAAAAAAAAAAGATAGCTCATTCTAACTTTTGTAGTACGCCGGGAAGATTGTATTTTTTACTGATTGGAACACACAGATATATGAAAAAATATTCTTTTGAATGCTTTTAACATATTGCTGATATTGGTAAGCATATTTCTCCACCCCCTCTTCTATCAAACTCAAGTATCAAGATGATATTGTTATTTATTATGACTCGTTTATGAAAATTTAACATGTTATCATATCTCAACAACAAAAATGAAGAGAAAATGATATACACATCAAAATTGATGCTATTCTTGTCCATTAAAATATGTACTTCAAGTATAAGAACATCATAAAGAGGTGAATACTCCTGTAAAATCTCCGCTAACAACATGATTGGTTTGGTTCCACTCCAAAAATTTATTTTCTTTTTTGAATTCTTGTAAGAAGTCATACAATCCATCTCATTCTCAGTGGCATTACAATGACAGTACACAACTCAGGTAGGTAAATGAATAAGAAAACAAGATGCCTTTTTGGCCACCATCATAACCTTCTCAACTCAGTTACTTCAATCATATATTGAAGTGAAAGTCATTGTGGCATACGTCGTGCTTCTGTTTGTTGAAGATGACTTATCTTGATTTCCCCAGCCAGGCGATGTTGTATTGCTATTCACAGCCATTAATTCAGAGAGTATGGCTGGTTTAGATATCTTCTTCTTGGGCAAGTCCATCTCACCCGTAAGCAATTTCAACACAGTAGACATGGCTGGCCGGCTTTTTGGCATGTCTTGGGTGCATAAAAGGCCAATCTTCAAATATCTGCAAGCCTCATCCATATTGAAGTCGGCTTCAAGTGCCGTGTCAACCAATTGACCCAGCTCCCTTTTCTCGTATAATTTCCATGCCTGCAAAAGAGTTTCATGGTGTAAGAAGGCTTAAAGATAGAGGAAGAGAAGCAATATCTATTTAGCGACCAAAAGAGTGTATCTAGGTAGATAAAGTATATTCTGGTAAAATCTAAAGTAGCGACTATCAATAACACGAGCCAACCCCTGTACATTTTCACATTTTGCATGTGTTGGGCTCTGAGGAGTTGCTCTAGTTTCCTATGTTATATGAAGGAATTGAAGGGGGCCGCTTGGTCTGAGAAAAGACAGAGAGGCGTGAGGGAAACTGTGTTATCTCATTCGACATTATAGTGAAAAATATGCAACGCCTAGTGGATGTACACCTCTCATATAAAGAGTGAACCACAATAAACATGTGTTTGTGGCTGCGTGTGTTCTTCATTTCGGTCATTATTGCTCTCAGGTTAGGATTAAGCCTAACCCCTATTGACTAGCGAAAATTGCTTATCTATCTGACTAAGTTGAAAGCCAAGACTAAGATTTTTCCTTTTTCTTTCTGGCCAAGCTTTTGTCCGGTAATATCTAAAGTAAACATATTCCCTTCTAATAATTGATGGAAGAAAACAGCAAATCAAGACCTCCATACCGTTTCAAGAAGATAACGTTCTTCAACAGGCAATCTCTTATTTGTGTTGCTTCTTCCACTGACAATTTCCAACAGGAGAACACCAAAACCATAAACATCCGCTTTTCTCGTCAACTGGCCTTGAATCGCATACTCAGGGGCCAAATAACCTCTACGATGAAAATAAACAGTTCATTTATTATACAAAACACAGGAATATATAACTGCAGTTATACACAAGGAGATAAAAGATCCCATAATCAAGAGGCTAAAGTCCATAACAAATATCTATAACCATTGCTTTCATAACATCTGACTCTCTCATTGTGAAAGACATATTACAGTACTGAATACCTCGTGTACAGTGCCATAATTACGTAAAATTCCCAAACTTGTGAATTCAAATGGCATATAATCACTGCGGGTGCCGGCATAAATAACATATCATCTAGATCTCTATTGCTAACTGTAAATACTAACATGATACTATTCTTTCATTCTTCATTGACATTTCTCCCATAGTTTTGCTAAGTATGATAGAAGGGCACATTTATTTTCGATATCGACAGTCAACAAAATTAGTTCAATTTCCAAACAGAAGCACAAGAATTTCTGCACTTACATCGTGCCGTGTGCTAATATGAGTAAATTATCTGGAAAAAGCTTTGCCAGACCAAAATCTGAGATTTTTGGAGTTAGGTCTTTGTCGAGGAGAATATTGCTAGGTTTGATATCTCTGTGAACAATATGAGGTCGGACTTCCTCGTGGAGGAATGCAAGCCCTTGTGCTACCCCCATGCAAATTTTAGTCCGTGTTTTCCAGCTAAACTGAATGTTACTGTAACCATCACCTACATATATAGATATTTAGCTATTACAATCTAGACAAGAAAAATGAGAGTACAAATATGATGTTATGAGCCGTAAATTACCTAGGAGAGTTTGAGAAAGGCTATTATTCTCTACGTAACCATAAACCAAAATTCTATGATCCCTTTCTGCACAGCACCCATACAACTTCACCAGGTTCTCATGTTCCGTGCATGATATCGTCATTATCTCTGTTAAGAACTCACGGACACCCTGCTTTGACTCGACAGAAAGAACCTTTACAGCAGCCAAGGAGCCATCCTTTAGCCTCCCCTAAAAGTTAGAGAATAGTTTGAGTGTATGTCTGAACAAGAATCATCGGTTTTAAAACCAAACTCCCGCGAATGAGGATTGAGCAAGAAGCTGCACATTACCTTGTAGACGGAACCAAAGCCTCCTTCCCCGATCTTATTTCTTGGATTAAAATTTTCTGTCGCAAGTTGTAATTCTTTGTAACTATACAGTTTTACATTTTCCTCACTTAAATTTTCTATATTCCTTTCTGAATTTCCATTTGAAGCTCCGATGCAGATATAAGCACATGCTGAAAAGGCGTGTGCAAAAGTAAATAAATATCATAGCTGGGAAAATGTGATTTGATGATCTAAATCAAACGAAAAGGCCCAAGAAACTAGCAAAGTTAAGTGATTCTGACCAATTATTTCAGTTTCGAAGATTGGTACTATCTTGAAATCTACCTTTTTTAAAACCCACAATTTGCTTTGCTGGGGAAGAAGCTTTTTGTTTGAAACAGGCAGTAAAACAAGTCATCCAACCAGTCTCTTGACGTCAATTGATGCGACAAATTATATATAATTCCTTTGAACCATCGAACAGCATTCACCTATGATTTCACCAAAATTTGATCTTAGCTAAAAAGAAGAAGAAGGGGAGAACATCGTGGAAATGATTCTACCTTAGCACAATCAAGTTCATAATACACTAAATTAACAAAAAGTTGAGGTTATGAAAAGTAAATTGAAGAAGAAAATCCCTACCAATTTAATGAGTCAACAACCCATATTATCCCAGGAGTATACGACCAGGTACAAGATAGACTTTAAAACATCAATAACTGGACTTCTATAAATGCAATTTTATTAGAATCAAGAAAACAACTATTCAACCTCGTAGCAGTGCACAAGAAAACAATTCAATTGTAGATACATTTTTCCTCTCAAAATTCTCAACCCATTACTCGGAGTGACAGCTGCAACAACTATAACTTTCTCCCGGCAAAAAAATAGAAAGAGGAGATAAAGGAAGAATAGCAACAACTCTTAATACCTCAAGCATGTTCAATATCCAATATTAGACATGACCGAGGACATGTTGGATAAATTAGTGCATGAATTATATTCCGTAAATAAAAAAACACGTGTATGCAAATACTAGAATAACGACTTACCGAATTATAGTACATGTATAATAATGAACAGAACACTACTTACACAAACGTAGAAAATGCAGAAATGAAAGGAAATAAAATAAAGCGAAATATGCGAATGCAAATCTCTTTAAGATGGATTTTGCCCCAGCATTAGTGTTGACACGATCAAATGGACATTCATCTTCCAAGATACATCGCTTTTTCCAACATTAATATAGTACAATATTAATTTTGTCTTACGAACCAACACTTGATTGTACTATTCTAGGAGGAAAGATGTGAAATACAAAACTTAAAAATTATTTGAAAATTATTTTGACAGAATTTATAGAAAGAATTGGAGTAGGAAAAAAAAAGGAATTAAATGTCTCTATTTATAGATTTGTATGCGTCTCTCCGAAGGGTCAAATTTTACGGCCAAATTAATTACAATCATTAGACGATACCGATTCAAAATTGATGGTCTAAATCGTACCTTATCAAAACGCCATACCCATTCGAAACAACTCTTTAATATGCACCATTTGCATTTGAAGAGTCGTGAGCCTAAAAATAAAAACAAAAAAAACTTACCTGCTACTTCCTCTTTTTTTTTTTTTTTAATTTTTAATTTTTTTTCTTTTAATTTTAACGGTAATTTTTGTTATATATTAATATTTAGTTATTGTTTATAATACGTATAAATTACACAAATTTGGGTATTTTTTTAAAAAAATTAGCTTTGTCATGATTTTTTAAAAAAAAAACCGAGGAGTCTCGGATCGAGCTTAAATTTTTTGGCCGAGCAACGGCTCGGGCCAAAAAATACTCAAAACTATTTTTACTCGAGTCGAATCCGAGTAAAAAGTTTTGGCTCTCGACTCAACTCATTGACACCCCTATTTTAATCCTTATATTACCCTAAATTTCCAACAGGACATTATAATCAACAAGACTTTTTTTCTTTTCTTTCTTAATACTTCCTCATATATACGACTACAATGAACAAGATTTTAGTTTCTTCTTTCTCCACTAATACAATCCAATTCGACCAATACTGTACAATCTATTTTACCAAACAAATTATAAATTCTCTTGATAATAACATAGCTAAGAACTAATTTGCCAGTGTGGAAATGAACCCTTGATTTATTTCATCTGAAGCGAACTTCTTCTAAAATTCTCATACAGATCAAAACCCAAAGAATACCCACAAATCAGAACTAATAATTGGTACCAAAAATAGAGCAGATTAAAAAATAAAAATAAAAATCATTTACACAGAATTCTGTAAAATGTGACGAGAAACTTACCTATTTGTTGTATTGTTGCGCTGGCAAGGAAGAAAATGGTTCAGTACAGAGAGAAATAGAACAGAAACATGATGAATTACACATCACCCGCCATTTATATTTATTCTCCTCAATTGGTGCAGTTGGATATTGAAATCTGAGTTAAAAAATTGTTTGAAACTATTGTAGTTAATGAATAAATATATATATAATTTATTACATTTTGGCTGGGCAGATGAGATTTTTTTTTTATTTAGTTAGTTGGTATGTCACGATATTAAGCCCTTGTTTGCCCCCATTATATCACATTCCATTACATTAATTTTTTCTCTCTCTTCATCTCAACCATCCATTCATCAAATAAAATAATAATACACACAAATCAAAAACTTTTCAACCACACATCTCCCATCAATCACTATTCTAAAAATTATCTACCCCCAAAAATTTAAATTAATGGGGGGCAAACAGGGGCTAAAATTGAAAAATTAGTCGTTATTATTGACTTTTATTAGACGAGTGAGCACCCAATAACGATTATAGTTTCAATTTTAATTGAATTTTAAACTTAGCCAAACATGCTCTAAATAATTGAATAAACATTACAAGACTAAGCGGTTGATTGCGCTCCATTTTAATGATAATCTGGAAAAAATGTATTTTGGGATAATAATTTTTGGAGAATGTGTATTTAAAAAAGAGGGAAAATTTTTAAATTTACTTGTAATATTATTTTATTAAAGAATGTATGATTGAAAAGAAGAAAGAAGAAAATATATTAAAATTTTAATGAAATCCAAACAGCGGCCAATTTTTTAAAAAAGACTGTCGTGTAAGACTTACCGACTTGATTAAAGACTTTCAAATTATTGTATAGCTTATCGTGTTACTTTCTTTTAGTATTATTATTATTATTATTTTTTATTTTTTATTTTTTATTCATAGGTACAGTACACGTTAATTTACTGTTGCTTAGACATAACTTTGAGTACGACAATTACTTGTAACTATAAATTAAAGTTTTGAATATGAATTATTTAAATATATTAATTATCGTCTAATCATCAAGAATATAGATTCCAATATTTTCTTGCCTATCTGAAACGCTCTAACGATAATTCTTTAAAATCTTAAGTAGTTTTTTTAACGTGTGAAATCCACTAGATCTGAATTGTTCATAGTCGTCGTCGTACTCGATTGATGCTCCAAGGTGTTGTTATGTGAGTGTCAAGCTCTTCCGCACATCCTCGAGTATTTAATGGTATTATCTTGACTTGAGACATTGACCTCTCTAGCTTGGATTTAAAGTTGAACTTTAGTTCCTGTTTGATATAATTTATTTGGGAATAATGAGTTATGGAATAGTATTTTTTGGAGATTGTGTGGTTAAAAAGTAGGAAACTTTATTGATTTGTATGTAGAATATTTTATTGTATGAATGTGTGGTGGAGAAATGATACTTTAGCAAATAATTTAATTTTTTAAAGGATGACAAACAGAGCCTTAATGACACTTGAAAATTATAAGGATGTGACAATGATGTATCCCTTGTTTAGACTTTTGTCTTGATTGGAGCTCTTGTTTAAATTACTCACCACATATATGTCACCGAATTATCTTATCATAAATCATAAAAGATGTATAATTATAAGAAAAATAATTAAGCTTAGGCTTCCATTTTTTCCTTCAAAAACTCATTTTTTTCGAAACTCATTTTCAATCACACATACTCTTTTAAAATTATTTTATACGTAAATTGAAAACTTTTCATTCTTGTTTAATCACACATCCTCCCTCACTATTTCAAAATACATTTTCTTATACGTTCAATTGACACTTGAGCATAAAAAGTGCTTGTTTGGGATAACTTAAAAAGTTGCCGAAAAGCTTATGTCAAAGTTAATAATTGATTAACCGCACATTTCATGAAACACACAATATTTCATCAACTTTTATAAAAAAATACTGCTAAAACTTTTATCAAAAACCTTTTCAAACAACCCCTCAATAAGTGGGAATAAGTTAACCATTTTTTCAATTCATTATACAAGAATTCGATAATTTTAGCCCTTACCTCATGTTTTCGTCGAAATTAAAATTTTAATTTTAATTTAAATCAAAATCAACAATTAATTTTAACCACATATTTAATTAGGTTTACAAATTTTCAACCATACATTTTATCAATTTTAACTCCCGTCAAACAGCAGAAGTTGAAAGTGTCGATAGGATTGATTTTTTCAAAGAAGAATGTAATTACAAAAGGAGAATATATCACGCGATTGTAGAAATTTTGAAAAAGTCATAAATTCAATCTGAATTTGTCTAAAGTCAAACTTGCAAGACTGTGTCTACTCATGATGAGATTTGTAACTGGGAAAATAATTAAAACAAAATAAATAAATAAAAACCGGTAATTAATAATAAAATCAGGGAAATACCTAGCGACGAACGTATGTTCACGTTGGTATTATACTTCAAACTAGTTATTTTTGAATTTTATTACGCAATCCTTTTTGACAAATTTAAGTTTTTGCGACAAAAATAAAGAAGATTCTGCACGTTTTTAAATTCGTTTAGGAATAATCGAGAAAGACAACTTAAAAATCGCTTTTTCGAAATCGTCAATTTAATATCACGTGTACCACATTAACGAATCGACTTGAAGATAAGTCAAATCATTCTAATATGATATAATTTACATTTCGAAATTTTAACGAGAAATCAAACAAAACTACTTAAAAATAAATATGAATATAAATATTTTTAATTTAAACTATTGTCAGATAAATTAAAATATTAACTTTCAAAATAAAATAAAATTTTAATACAAAAATATGTTACTCTAATTTCATAATCCAAACTGCTTATATTTTTCAATGCCAAATATCAATAATTAATTAGTTACTCTAATTTCATAATCCATACTTCAAACTTTTTTTCAATTTTGTTGGTATTTAATCTTATGGTTGAATATAAATTTTTATTGCCAATGAAGTACGATGAACCAAAAAAAAAAAAAAGGTCACTATCAAACATATATGTATTCGAAATAATAGTCGATAATGATGTCAAAACGACAAGCCCAGAATACAGAACATTTCCCTCTA